CAAATTTCACCTTTCTTGGGGTAGTTTCTCATTACATAGTTCTTGAGAAAAATCAAATTAGAAAAGAAGAATTTAATCTTCCTGCTTTTTAGTCCCTATTCATAGCCATTTCGTGTGGGAGAGAAACAAAACATTCATTCTTGAAGGTCCAAACAATATAAAAACAATATGTACACAGTTATCTCTCTATTATTTTAATTAAACTTGTGTACAACTGAAATACAACAAAGGCCAATTGATTATCCCGCAAATAATTCAATGCCATGTGAGTCATCAGGTAATTCAGTTATATTATGCCTCATTTTGGTTTGGTATATTATGATCATATTTTTTTGGGAATTTCTACAAATCACATAGAATATATATGGTAATACTCTATTGCCCTGCTTAGTACTCATTGCACATGATACTAGCACTATGTGCCACATTGATCACTTACAAATACACAAACAGTAAGACATTAAAGTTTCTAAGTGGTGAATTCTTATGAATTAATTTGTTAACAGTTTTTAGAATTTGTTTTCCTGACTCAAACTATGTGTGTGTGTGTGTGTATGCATGTGTGCCAATTGTGCACATTGACAATAAGTAGAATTAATAAGAAAATGACATAAAATTTGGATAGTGAGTACACTCCCATGTATTTTCAACATAAAGTCAAAAAGCATTATACTTATGCTTTCTAAATGTCTCAAAGTGAAAACCATTCTGCTGCCTTTCAGGTAGACCACATTTGTTACTGTAACATTTGAATAAGGCGCTGACTTAATTTGCCAAAGATACAGAATCTCACAGGAAGTGAGACAGCACAGGAGAAGGACTGGCTGTAGCCAGTGTTCATGGTGCTCCACTTTGCCCCCATGATTCTCTTGTTTGAGACACCACATCTGGAAGGCTCTTTTCTTCCTCATCACATTCCCCCTATTTTATTCTATGCTTCCTTCACTTTTAAAGGAGAAATTATGCTAGCCATCGGTGTTCTTCTATTTAAAGGAATATTTACCAACACTGATTTCTCCTGGTTCTTGAACCACCACCACATCCTTATCAGAGGAGAGAGAGCAGAGTGCATTCTCAATTGTACCTAGATGAAAGCCTAGTCCTTGTATTTCTAGATCAAAGGTAGTTCATTTCCCATATTCAGTTCTGTGACTCTGATTTAATATTCTTTTTCCCAGGTGCTGCTGATGTGGAATTTGATCTAAGGGCTATAATCAGAAATGCATTTCCCTGCACCTACATGTTACTACCTCTAAAATATATTTGTCAGCACAGTGAATCTTTAAGATAATGGAAGAAAATGGGGCCAAGTGTCAAAAGACGTCCTCTCTTTTTGTTGCTTACTATCTCCATGACGTGAAACAATTTCCTTAGATCTCCGGAGTCACTGGTAAAATGACAGCAGGAGCCTGGGAACCAAACAAACTAATGAACGTGAAAAAATGTTTTGTAAATCACAATACACCAGAATGGTATCTACTCTTATGCATATGACTAAAGTAGCTTTTTAAAAAAGCAGCTATCAGAAATAATAATGGGATAAACCTCCAGTCCTTGTGCGATAACAGTACCATGGTCCTGGAAATCAGAGAATATAATATATATCTAGGGTTTACTCCCTGAAAACAAATCTCAGATATTCATATATTTCAAAAATATATTTGTATCCACTGATTTTTTAAAGAAAAAGCATTTATATTCTTTTACTACTATTACTATTTGTGTATAAAATCTTATAATTACTTCGTTTAAAACTAAAATTAACATCTTTTCACCTGATTAACTTGAGTAACAAACTATTTTTTAAAAGCTTTCTAAATTGGTATTCTGTAATGATTCATCCAAGAAAACATCTTTTCTATTCAAAAGTCTGCACCTCTTCGGTTTTTCACTCAACCACATAATTAACTACACAGCTTCAAAAATGTTTGCTGCATTCATCCACCAAAGGCCAATCATTTTATGTATTCCTTGGTTCATGGGAATGCCCCAGGCAAGTGGAGGGTGGCAGTGAGTGTTCTGTGAAATTTGGGGTAGACCTAGTGATCAGGCAAGGAATTTGTTTGTTCAATTTTTAATGAACTTAACAGACTTCCCTCAGCCTGTGCTGTGGAAGCCAAAGATCACTGAAGGGCTTGGTATGCAACTCTGGATTTCTCATTCATAACTAAATGCCTACCCTGGGCTTTCTTCTGGGAACCAAAGAAGTGATCCTAGGGGTTAAAGAGAAAGAATGGAAAGTTCGGCCTCCATGCCGACCTGATGGCATTCCACTGTGCTCCTGGCCCCTCCGTGGGGGCCGTGCTTCAGTGCTGCACTGGCACTTGACCGCGCAGTGCATAGTGGGGATAGTCTTGCGATCATTTTCCTCCTGTGTGAGTGGTTCATAGCTTCATGCTTTCAAATTCTCAATATTAAAAATGGAAGTATTGCAATGTTTTTACTTTTTGACAAAAATAAGACTTTTAATAATTCCATTTAAAAAAGTTAGATCACTCACGATAAACTAGAGCAATCACTGTTTTATTTTTGAGTCACCTACAACTTGCTCCAAACTTCCACTACAGCACCAAAGCCAAAGCCCTGAACTGGAATTTAGGAGACTTCGATCTGAGTCTTTCCCTTTCATTAACTAGCTGAGGGGTTTAATTCTGTGCTTCTCTTCTGTCATCTGAATAACCACAGGCAAGTCTCTTAACTACTTTTGTGCCTCAGTTCCTTTATCTGTAACAGAGGATATAAAAAGTGCATACTTCTTAGCAGTGTTATAAGGAGTCAATGAGATTATGTTTATAAAGGGCCTAGAACAGTCTGGGGCTCATGCTAAGAACATATGTTTTATCTATAATAATGTAACAGTAATCTGTCTTGTGATAATTTCTATATTATCCACCTCACAAAGCTGTCATAAGAACCTATGACATAACAAATGTTGTATTCATTTGTTATTGCAGCATAGCCAATTATCACAAATTTAGCAACTTTAAACAACACCCATTTATTATTTCATAATTTCTACAGGTCAGAAGTCCAGGTCCGGTTTCTCTGCTCAGGGCCACATCAGGCTAAAATCAAGGTTTCAACTAAAGTCTGGAGCTCAGGATCCTCCTCTGAACTCACGTGACTATTGGAATAATTTGTTTCCTTATGGTTGTAGGACTGAAGCCCCCACTTCTTACTACATGTCAGAGACGGGCTGCTCTCAGCAAGTGGAGACTACCCACTGTGCCCTGCCACATAATGCTTTCCACAAGAGGGAAGTTGCTTTCTTCCCAGGCCAGCAAGAGCAGGTCTCACTAGCTTCCAATCACCATCAGCTGAAGAAAACTCTGCTTGTGAAGGGCTTACAGGCCAGGCCAGCCAGGATAATCTCTCTTTAGCCATGTACTACAACATGACCATGGCTTGATACCTCATGCTTTTAGATTCCACCCTCACTCAAGGGGACTAGATCATATAAATGTGAGAGTCATGGGGGCATCTTAGAATCCCACCTACCACAAATGGGGACCTGAAAGGTAAAAATGATATACAAAAATAAAGTGCCCACTGTGGTATGTTTGATCTTTGTCAACATCATGATAATAGCAACCAATTTTTAACCTCATACAACACTATTCCACTCACTTTCAATGGTTTAATTTGCTGTAAAGATTATCCCAATCCAATTAAAAGTCATATACCTCAGCTTTGCATTTGCTTCATAACTCCTTGAATTCTTTCTCTTTGACTGAGATATCAAAGGAGGGAATCTTTTGATCCTGTGATCCTTTGATCCTTGAGCCAGTAAATCATGGTACTTCTCAAGAACAAAGTTGCATGAAGAAGTATGTTTCTGTTGTGTTCGTCAGTCCATTCAATGTTCAGCCATGATCACCTTACATGTATGCACCAACCCCGAAATTCCCTATGGCCTAGTTGTACCCAACTCCTAGACAAATTAAGGAAAAGCCTATCTTTTCCAGTGCTTTAATGATATTTAACTAGGGAATTAATATGATAAACTCAGAGATGTTTATTCATCAGCAGCCTGAGGAAGCTTAAGATGCTCCATGTGGCTACGGCTTTATCTTTTGACCAGTGTCCACAAGGGCCTCATGTGTTATAAAAAGTTCAATATGTAGATAATAATACAAATTTTAAAAGATATAAAAATCTATTTAAATATAAAGTATATATGTACATGTAAATACTTAAATACAAATATATTTATATTTACTATAAAAATAAAAATAAGAATATAATAAAAGAATGATGTATGGAAAGGTTGAAAATGATTATATCTTCCACTAAAATCAATGGGGGAAATTAAACCTGGAAATCCAAACAAGAAACTCCTGGTATTTTGTTAATACAAATGCCATTAAGGCAGAGGTGAATCCCCTAACCACACAGAGATCAGTAAAACATCTGTACATGGAACAAAGTAATATTATATTTTAAAAAAGAATGTGGGCTACAGAGTATATCTGTGCTCAAAACCATCTCTGCCCCTTACGGCAACATGATCGTGGTGAGTAACTTTTCCTCACTGAGACTTAGTTTCTGTGTTAACACGGGGATAATACTGTCTGCTCTAGCAGATGCTGCGAGGCGTCAGTGAAACAGCCTCTGCTGGACTCTTAGGACAACGTCTGGTACAAAGTGAGCATTTAGTAAATGATGACTATTGTTGCTATTGTTATTTTATTTTTGCTTTAATTCTGTTAACATGTGACCTGATAACTGGAATGTATTAAAAGCTGAGAAAATACCACTTTCTTTACCCTTCTTCAATACCTGTTTGTTGAGTTGGACTCAATCCGTCAGGAAGACTATATTGGATATTATCCATCTGAAATTAATTAAGAGGTTAACCTTTTGTCTACTTGTATTTAATTTGATACAATTTTTTTCTTCCCTTTCCCTCCCTTCCTGCCTGTCTTCTCTTCTTTCCATCTTTTTTTCTCTCTCTCTCTCTCTTCCTTCCCTCTCTTTCCTTACCTTTTTTTCTCAAGCAGATATTATTTTAAATTTCCGCACAACGTATGTCAGCAAGTCTGGCCAAGTTATCTTTGAAGCAAGATCAATTTGCATCCACTATGTCACCACCTGGTTCATCATTGATTTAATCGCTGCCCTGCCTTTTGATCTCCTGTATGCTTTCAATGTCACAGTGGTGAGTAAGGGGACTCTTTGACATGACCTTGGAGGTTAATTTTACCCTGGTGGTTATTTTTCACATGTTCAGATTTTAAGAGGTTGTGGCAATTTGTATGTCCAGCATTTTGTGCCCTGATGCCAAGATGGCTCATGATGCCCTGATGCCAAGATGGCTCATGTTATGTAGGGCAGATTCTCCACTTAAGGGAGTTACTCCGATTTGAAATTTGCATTACCTGTGTCTACTTATTGAAATGCCTAGAACCAGGATATACAAAAACCCTGAGTGTAGCATCATCAATGTCTCACCAAACCAACCCTTTGCTAAGGGAAGCATCTGCAGGAATTTAAGCATTACTTCATATTGCTTAAGACATTTGCCTCAAGAATTTGGTGGAGAATTTGAAGATTTCTTCTACTTTTATGACCTTTACTCTCTGCCTTGAGTATGTCATTATTCATTGGCAACCAAACAAAAGATCCATCAGGATGGAGAGAAATCCTGAAATTAAAATAATTCAACCATGTCTTAGAAGTCTTTGTAAAAATGTTGGGTGGGGCAGCGACCTCACTGACACAATGGCCAATGTGAACTTGAGAGTTCTCTCGGATATTACTGATATTTGTAACTCCTCTTTCTTCATCTAAAGACTTTATCCCCATGTCTCCTCACAGGAAAGAAAATATGCCCACTTGTATAGTAGACATTTTTATGGTTTAATGATTAGTATTCTTAAGAGCGTAAGTGCTTTCTTATAAATAGAGACACTTTTCAGGAGTTATAACAGCATTTTCGGACCAGTAATGTAATTTGCTGCAAGAATAACCAGTTTTAGCAGGCAAAAATTTGCAAAACATTTGCTCAAATTAAACATATTTCCTACTCAGTTGACAACCCCCTGAGAAATCATATTCTCTATCAAGAATTTAAAAACATTGTTTTCCATATTAATAAAGTCATCAGTGTTTCAAATACAGCAATTATTGACTTCAGATTGAAGACTGAATTGTAATCTTCACTATTTAGTACAGATTTGTGCATTTATTAATTGCCTGTACAATAGTATATTCTTTTTCTTTTTCTTTCTTTCCTCCTCTTTAAGTTTGGGAGTTGAAGATGTCAACATCTATAAAAGGCTTATTACTCAACTGAGAGGAAAGCTCTGGGGAAAAATTTAGTATATAATATCAATCAGTGCACATGGATTGTTATGCAGGCTTTTTAAAGTGCTTTTTAAGATTGAATTTGACGAGATAAATGTACTATAATGAAAGTGCAATGACTTAAAACAAGGCTTTTGCAATACAAGGAAAAAAGAAAAAAACAAAAGACATATATAATTCACAAAATGCTAAGAATATTTTTTTCAAATTCTCCCAGAGAATTGTTAAATAAATGGTGTTTAATAGACTCTTCTCTAAATTAACTCGCTGCTTTGCTACCAAATACTAATAATAATTTTTTTGTATTCCATTTCTCTTTTGGTACTAAACAAATAGGGTAATTTTAAATAGTATATATCATATCAGTATATTATAAGCTATATAAAATTTTAAAATATCTAACATATGTTTATATCTCAAGTAACATCCTTGCCTAAAATAACACAAATAAAGGATTTTTGAAAAGTCTAATTCTCATACTTTGATGAATGTTAAAAACATATACACTTTCTGTGCTCCTGTTCTATCTCTTTCTTCATTCTGACTTGTGAATATCTGGCACGAATGATTCATAAAGAGTACAAGTTATAGGTCAACATTTCTGTCAGAAGGAAAGAAAACAAGGGAGGAAGGAAGGAATCTGTCTTATCAGTGATAATTTTTCTGCTTTTCACAGGAGTGAGCACATGATCACTTAACAAATTGGTGTGTAAATTTGTTATTCTCCCCAATAAGTTAGGATGAAATATTCTACGTGAACAGAAAACTTCATATTTTTGACCAGGAAAGTATTATATTTGCTTCCAGGAAAGCATAAGTTACAAGGAGAATCTTCTCAGTTATATCACTATATTGCACAGACTTACAAAAAGAAAGGAAGAAAGAAACAAATAAATAAAAGTATTGGTTTTCCAGACCCAGAATGAGTCCAGTGCATCTCCACAGATGACATACAAAAATGCATCACAGCCTTCAAACTGTGTTGTCTGCTTTGCCGTTGGCTCTGCCTGCAATTGCTGGTGGCAAATGTTTTCTATACAGGTCACACATTTATCTATTAAAATCTACTAGGCATAAGTCACTATGACAGCTACTATGAGAGAGAAAATTATGAATGAGATAGGAAAGTATAAAGAGTGAATAAGGCAAAAGAATGAATCCCAGCTTTTATCACTTCCCATCTGAGTGACTTCCTTGTGGAAGCTAACCCCAAATTAGGCCTAAAATGAGCATAAAAATTCCTAGAGAGTTACTGAGCAGCCTAAAAAGACAGAAGCTTGATAAAATACCTTGCCTAAGTGTCTAACACTTAGACCTCAATATGTGTTAATTAGCTTCTCTTTCTCTCCCCCTACCTAGTTGACGGCCAGGAGGTGGTCACGTCCACCTGGTAATAGGGGAACTCGCCCTTTGGTGAGGTTCGGGGAGAATGCATCCCTGTCTTGCACCTGTCTATAAGGTGCTTGTCAGTGATGATTCTCATCAGTGACAAATTCAGAAAAGCATTCCATGAGTAAAAAGACCTCTTTCCTTTTTTCAAGTTACGTATTTCCATCAAAATCAAATGTGCCTCTTCTGTCATTCATCAGAAACCAAAATTCACATTTTATAGGAGGAAGCTGTTGACTGAGATGGAAATAAGTATAATTCAGTTGTTTTTTTTTTTTAAGTGCCAGCGAACTCACCAGGGCAGCCTCATCCTGGACAGCAGGCTCCTGTCTCTTATCTCTGTGAATGGCTAATGTTCTCATGTAAAGGCAGCCCACACTCTTCCCTCAAACATAGCCCTCTGGTCAGTGAAAATGGGGAGATTGCCTGCAGCAATATTATATATTCCAGTGGTGGCTTAGCCTGCTTAGTCTGCTACGACAAAGTTTCACAAACTGGCTGGCTTATACAGAAGGTGTTTCTCACAGATCTGAAGGCTGGGAAGTCCAAGATCAAGGTGCGAGCTGATTTGGTTTAGGGAGAGCCCTCCCTCTGTTGAGCTTGTAGATGGCTCTCTACTCTTGTGTCCTGCCTGGGGAGGGCAAGAGAGAGAGAAACAGGAGAGAGGGTGGGAAACCCAGAGAGCTCTCTCAGGTCTCTTACAAAGGCACTAATCCCATGTTAAGGGCCCCACCATCATGACCTCTTCTAAAACGAATTATGTCCCTAAAGTCCCACCTCCAAATACCATCCCATGGAGGGTTAGGGCTTCAACATAGGAAATCTGCAGAGACACAATTCAGGCTACAGCAGATGGCTTCCTCCATTTGGAACTTTTGCTCCAGGTTTCATTTTACTTACAAAATTATCATCTATCTGCCAAATTCATTTGCTTAAAAATAAACTCCATACACCATAATTCCTCTAAGCTACAGTGTAGAGATTGCAGTCCCAGCATGTAATCATCTGGCTTACAATCAGCTGGAGAATAATAGATTAGAAGTTGCACGTGAAGGAGAAGAAAGTAAAAAATTGATACAAAATAATTTGATACAGAAAAATGGAGAGGGAAGACAAAAAGAAAGAAAACAGCAAGCTAGCTGGCAAGTTCTTTAATGGATCTTATGATTTTATTATATGTCAGAATAAAATAATTCACAAGATTGCAATTGAAAACACTTCCACTGAATATCTGTTGTTATACTGAGCTTTGAGTGCTTTGCATCTTAATTTACTCATTCGCTCATTTAACACGTATTTATTGAGTTATGCAAACCACTTTCTTCCCTTCTATTTATGGTTCTCCCCCAAATTAGTAAAGATCAAGGAATTTGTCAAACTATATTTGCATAGGAGTTAATATTTTATTTGTCTTTTCTGTTTTAGAATGCTCTTTGAGGACCTTTGAGGGTGTGAAAAGAATGTATATTAGTGCACCAGATATGTTCTTAATAGCAACATTGACCATTCTGGTGGACACCAATGGGGTGCATTTCTCAGTTGGGCCCTAAAGTCAAAAAACAACCCCTTAGCTATAAGTCTGTTGCTTTAGTGCATACAAAGGCAGGACCTAGAAGATTTTGCAAAAGGCTTGTTCCATTCAATTTTGGCTCCCTAAGTAAGTTTGTTTGAAAGAGAGTACATGATGTAAATGCTTCAGGCAAATCTTTTCTGTCTATTGATAGCCTTCAAAAATTGACAGTATAGCCCATGAAACAGGAGGTGCTACTGGTATTTATGAACAGATCTTACTCAAGTTTTATAAGCCTTATTATTTTTTAAAAACTAAGTTACTTCACCACCACTTTATAGGGTTTTACTTAAGTCTATGTAACAGACTGTCATAAAGCAACATGGAGGAAAGAAAGGGGAATTGAAAGAAAAGGTATGTAGGAGTGGAGGCATGTTATATTCACTCCTGATATCCTAATGTGCTTCAGTTGTATACAGAATATAGATTCAGTCAGACAGGTAGAGGAAAAAAAGGCAGATCAATAAAGGATGACAACTATTTACTCAAATTCAACTTATCATCCTTTATCCTATTACCTTTTGATATAGTATGTCAAGAAATAGCAGAGAAATGGTCATTAAAATGACCATAGTATTGCAATCATGGCTTTAATGAATTTCAAGAACTTTCCAGCATGGCTGTAAGTTAAGGAACTGTCGTGGCTTGAAGCGAACACATGAGCCAAGTTGTGCTGCTCGGTCTCCTACCACAGGTGTCCCTCGTGCATCTCCTGAAGACAGTCCGGCTGCTGCGTCTTTTGCGTCTCCTGCAGAAATTGGACCGTTATTCCCAACATAGCACAATCGTCCTGACTCTGCTCATGTCCATGTTTGCGCTCCTTGCACACTGGATGGCATGTATCTGGTATGTCATTGGAAAAATGGAGAGGGAAGACAACAGCCTTCTGAAGTGGGAAGTTGGTAAGGGCTCACATTTGTCACATTTTCCATTGTTAAGTGAAAAGGAAGATTGTCTAGAATTTGGAGGGAATGAAAGATGAGTCTATAAATGTACATTCTCTGGCTATCAGTTTGTCTTATCTTTTTGTGGGGAAGGGGTCCATGATACAACTGGTTTCTTTTGAGAAAGTTTTTTGGAACAACCTTACTTTATTTTTTTTCAAAGAGTAATGGATTAAGCATTCAATGGCTTGGCTGTTGTAAACGACCAGCACAGCTGTAGAAGTGTTTAGATGAGTAATGGGTGGTCTTATCGTGACATTCCAGGGCAGGGCTGGTAACAGTAAATCACTGGGCAACTGGCCCATGACCATTCACTCAGTATTTTAAATTGTAAGAAGATGATCACTTATATTTGAGGTGCAAGTTTATACGAAAGGTTTTGCTACCATTTTTTCCTTAAAAAAGAGTGAGAGAGAGTGCTATCATGACACACTTCCCACATTTAGTACACTCTAAGGATTTGCAGTGATGGAGAGGATGGGGTACTTACAAATATAATTTGTAAAATTTTTTGTTACCATAATACATAGAAGTTTACACAGGGAGATTTTCCAAGTGTTCCTCAGTTCTGCATATATGACTCCAAAACATTCAGCACGTGGACACATCTTTCATCACACGCCAATCACGAGTCCCTTACAGAAAATTAACATTCTGGAGGCAGGAATCTAAAATCTCTGCATTCTTCCCTTAGCCATTGCCTGTAAAGAATTGTCAGAGTGCCCTACATAGGACTTTTTTTCTGAATCTGACCTTTAATCAAAAGAATCTGTTTCTTGGTTGGCTAGAAAATCCTCCACTTATCTTCTCCTCCAAAAATCAATCTAGACCTTTAGAAAGATGCTCAGACCTTTGCACAGGGATAAAGTCACAAGAGAGTCCCAAGAGAGAAAAATGCTCTGGCTTGTCATGGCTGCACTTAGTGGCATCCCTGGGTTGGCTCTTGTAAAGGCCACTGTCTCATAGAGCATGTACAAAACCTTCAAAGGGCATCTTTGGTGAATAAGCTGGAGACCGTAAGAAAACAAATTCAAGGAGCAAATCTCCTGTCTAGATTCTTAAAAATGCTCCTACACATCTCAGTGTTGACCTTGAGCTATGCAAAGTCACTAATGTATTCTGATAATTTTTTTCTTATCTTCCTTGTCAAATAACTTTTTTTTTCATGTCTTGCTGTGACCCTCAATTCTCAGAAACAAAGTAAAAGGAGAAATAAAACTACAGAGTGAAAGCAAAAATATCCTACATAAAGAGAACATGAGAAGAGAGAGAAAGAGAGAGAGAAATAACTGTGGAGGGAAAGAGAAGGGTTGACTAAACAGAGGATCAAAATCTGGAATGTACTTGGACTAAAGCTTTTCCATCCTTCAGTATCATTTCCCCTTCTCCGACATCCTAAAGGCGTCCTCATCACATGCCCAGTGTGGCCCTAATGGTGTTCCATTAATTATAGCATTAGATCTCTGCCCTTTGTTTTAAATCCATATTAAAATCCCAGCTTGTGGTCAGCCACTTGACTCCTTTTTTGGACCTGACCTAATTTCCTTCAGGCCCCAGACCTATACACTTAAATTAATTTGTAGGTCTTGTCTAGTCTTAGAGTCTCCAGATGGGAAAATTCAGCTTATTCACGCTCTCAAATTTAGTTATATGAGGAATGCTTATTGTTTCATTTCCAACATGCCAGTTCTGCTGCAGATGCACAGACTAGCTGTTTTCCTTCCCACAAACACACAGAGGTATTTATTTTCCAAGGAAAGAGAACCCAACCACCTGAACTGCTCCTGAACTGCCCACCACGCCCCGTGGTCCTGGTGTATGGTTCACCGTGGTGAAGGGAAGGCTTGTAACTTGGAAGTTAACCTGAAGGGAGCACTGGCATAATCTGAGGAGAAGAACATTGGGTTTTGGGGGCTTTAGATTTCTCATCACAGTTCCACCACTAACCAACTGTGAGATTGGCAGTAATTTTATTTACCTGTCTGAGCCTCAGTTTCCTCATCTATAACATGAGAAAACTCACTATATAACTTGAAAGTCTACTTCAGGTTCCATGATTTATGATTCACTGGAAGAGCAGATGCAGTATTGTGTGCTTAATATATCCACTTTTTATCATAGTTCAGTGCCCACAAAAACTGTCACTAGTAACCACCCAGTATCAACAAGGTTGAGGACAAGGGACACATCAGGATGTACATCATAGCAGGATGTACGTAAGGATCACAGCATGTCAAGGAACTGATATGTTTTACTCAGTTATAATAAAAATAACTGAGCATTTGTCTTTAGAGAATTAGATTCCTGTGCAAACACCTCTGGGGATATGATCAGGAAGGTAGTGTGTTAATTATTGTCTATCAACATTGAGTTTATAGGCTTGGCTACAAGGACTTCCCCGTCCCCTAAAGTCACTTGCATCATTGTTCAATTAAAACATTCTCCAGCTGAGATTTGGACACAAATCAAATTATTATGACCTTCCCTTCCTAATTTTTTAATGAAGCAGCAGAGAGTCAAGGCTAATTTAGTTTTTACTATGTAATTTGTCCTCTAGTAACAAGTTTTACCTTTTTTGGTTTAATTACCATGAGGCGAAAAATTCATTTCACAAATGTAATTTGATTAGAGAACATGTTGTTCTTTATGTTGTGACTAACATTAGATGTATAGAACAGATTCATCTTCCCGAGGGATAAAATAGAACTTCCTATCTAATCATTGTTAATTGCCTTGAAATGATTTTTTCAAGTACAGGTGTACTCCGTATAACTAGGGAGAGTTCCAGTATTTTGCATCAGAACAAATCAAAGTTAATCTTTACAAATGTTATAGTTACTTTGCTGTAAAATACCTATTTTTGGAAGGAAGACCTAATACTCATAGACTGTATCAGAGGCTAGTTATGAAATGGTTTGCCTGGTATTGTATTTTACTCATATTTTTATGTCTCCCTATATCATATTTTAAGGTATCTGAGGTTTGGCTTATTGTTTAATGGAATTTTAAACCTGGAAAGACCCTAGTCCAACTCTTTGACTTTATAGGGAGAAACCTAGCTTCGCGTTACATAAGAACAATGGTAGAAGGGGCTGTTGCCTACTGTATCCACTGCTAAATCCCCATTGAGGTATATACTTCCTGGCATGTGGCAACTGTGTAAAAAAATTGTTGAATGAATTATTCTCCAAGGTCATTGAACTCCTAACTGGCAAGCATGGGACAAGAACCTAGATTTCCTGACTCCTTAAATAGAAGCCCTTCTAATAATTTTGAATATTCTAAAATTATAGGAAATGGCTAGATAGCAACTTTTTTGGACAGGGAGATTGAAAGAAGAACAAACAGGATGTTCATTTAAGATTTGGTCATTTGTTCAAAAAATATTTTTTGAGTACCCACTGTATGCTTGGTCTTGTGTTAGACCCCAGAGATAACAAAACAAATAATGTACTCCATGTCATCAAGCTTAAAATCCAGTAGGAAAGAAAGACAAAGAATTCAATAGAGATATCACAGTGTGATACATTCTATAGACAGGAACATGCATAGAGGAGTGGAAACTAAATCTAACTAGAATGTCAGCAAAGGCTTTTCCAGGATGGGCTAGTTTTGTTAAAGAATGGATAGGTCTTATCTCTGCAGCTGCCGAGATCCAAGTAACAGCAGGGACATAAATATGTAAGATAGATCACTAAGAACAGCACAAAGGGTGAATTTGGGAGACAGCTGGTAGTAAAGTAATGAGGCTAAAGAGGTAGGTGGTCAGGGACCAGATCTTTAGAGATCATGGATACTAAGCTTCAGAGTTTGGTCCTCACCTTAAGGCTCCCGTGAGTCATGACAGTCTCTGGAATATAGCACACAGGGAAGCAGAGAGAGAGATGTTTTGTTCTGATTCATTTTCAATATCTATGAAATGGCAATAACAAAAGTGCCTGCCTCATTGGGGTTGCCAGTATTAAATTAGGCAATCTATGCAGCATTTATCTCTGAGCCTGGCACCTAGTAACTGCTCAATAAACAGTGGCTATTATAGCCATCATTGCCATTTTATTATGACAGTTACTTCAAATAAAGAAAGTACCATGAGCTGTGACTAGTGATACTTATCATCTTATATGGAAAGCTTATTAAGACATGCCTTTAGAAATGTTGCTTTTCAGGCTTAGTGTAGTCCTAGATAGCAAATGATAACACTTTTGGATACATTCAAAATAGCATATCTGCCTAAATTTCTATTTCTATTTCTGAAAAATTAGCAATTTTCATATAGCTTATTACACACATACAAGAGATTTCTCTTTCAAGGCCAAAATATGTGGCAGGTCCAACATCCATCCTACAAACTTGTTGGGATATATAAAACTTTTATGGAATTAAAACATAATGCTTCAAGGGCAAGATTTAACACTGTATTAAAGGGACAGATCATAGCTGAGTTGAAGGGTACTTTTTAAATTTTAAGTTTTGTTTTGGGTACAAAGAAATGTTTCAGAACGATTTCTTTGAGGAGCCTTTGTGTTCTCTAAGAAAATGTCAATAAAGACCCAGAAAAAATGTGTGAGAAGACCTTGCATGTTTCCTTATATCCCAGTTAATGTAGGGATATATTATTTTAACTATTATCATTTACAAAGTTCAATTAGAATCATCCTAAGGCTCCACTAGGATCCTGAATAGGATATAATAGGTTTGATTTTAGCTAGAGAAACTTGGATTTGAATACTACTCCAGGAATTTACTAGACATGAGATTTTGGCCAAGATGACTTCAGTGTATGACTTTTGATACAATGATCTTGGTTTCTTCACGTGTACAAGGGATGTGGCAATACTGACCCTCAGCTTTTTTGAGGTTTAGATGTCCTCAAGTTGACATACCTGAGGTGGATTCTGGTGCAAAGTATGTTCTTAGTATGTTCTTATAGCTGGTGACTACCACCACCACCACCCATT